CCTTGAAATTAATCCAGAAAGCCAACCTTTCTAAGAATGAGTCCTATCCCATTATTATTTTCAATATTATTCTTGGTGGTAGTGTAGTAGTAGTGATAACAACAGCTACTAGCTTTAAAGTTTGTCACATATTTCAATCACTTGAGGGGGGAGGAAATATTCAAGGCCGCTATCTAAAACACAATGTAGCAGTGGGCTCAAGTATGTCAGAGGTTGTGAAGATGGGACAGGATAGGGTAGGGTTCAGATCTGTTGTTCATAGGGTCACTAAAAGTTGTTCTCGACTCAGTGACATCTAACAATAACAGTAACATCTCAAACAGCAAAACTAAAACCCATTTTAACTGGAATTGCTAAAGTAAGCATATTCAGCTCAATGAAAAGATTAAGTTACTTATATAAAAAAAGCATAGTACTAACAAAGCAAATCACGAAATTTCCTTTCTAGTTATTTCCTTTATACTTGTCTTCATTGACACGGACTCACCAAAAATTGATTCGGTAAAGTTTTGCTGTCCAGTTTCTCAAGTGCTTTGTTGTTATGTACCGTTGAGTTGAAATTAACCCATAGCTGACTCTCTAGTGTGTTTTCAGAGGGAGTAAATCCCATGGGAGGAAATGGCCCATCTTTCTACTGTGGAGCATAGGAAATGTTAATATAGATCCTGATTTTAGTGTTCTTTAGGTGGGGAGAGCAGATTCTTATTGGAGATTTTTTTGTAGATAGTAATTTTGGAATGGAAATTTTTGCAGGATCTTGTCCTCAGGGAAGTTACCTCTGTGTTGTACCTGCATTTGCGAGTTTCCTAGAACCTTTGAGATTTTTCTTTCAGAATCTATATGTGTTTTTTATGTCTAGAAATTTTTAGCATAAAAGAAGACCTAGGAAGAATAGGGTTGCTCCATCTTTGTTGTAAATGGATACATTTTAGAATCTGTTTATGAATTAATTCTGAGGAAAAAAAAGTCTACTGTAATTTGGATTTGAGTTACATTGTACCTATTGATTGACTTCTTGTTGTTATGTGCAGTCAGGTCACCTGAGACCCATAATGACCCTGTGTACAGCAGCTCTGAAGCCTGGCCTGGCCTGAGCCAGTCTCACTGATGCCAACACACCTACCCTTGTTACCTCAGTTAGTATAACAGTCCATCTCATCTGAAGTCTTTCTCTCCTGTGCTGTCCCTCTACCCTTCCAAGCATGATGTCATTTTCCAAGGATTGGTCCCTCCTGGCCACATGCTTAAAATATGGGAGATGAGCTTCAAAATCCTAGCCTCCAGGGAGAAACTTGGTTTCAGTTTCTTGAAGATAGACCTATTTGTTATCGTGGCAGTCCACAGTATATTCAAGACTCTTTTCCAGCACCACAACTCAAAGGCATCAATTCTTCTTCTGTCATACTTAGTCATTTTGCAGCTCTCTGAAGCATAGGAAGAAATTGCAAAAACCATGGCCTGGATCAGGTGCACCTTAGTCTCTAGACTGATACTGTTGCTTGTCAGTACTCTGGAGAGGTCTCTGACAACAGATTTTCCCAGTGCAATTTGTCTTTTGATTTCCTGATGCTAGTGCCAAGAGTGTTGATTGTGGAGCTGAGCAATATGTAATTGTTAACAACGTCCATCTCTTCTCCATCCCTCATGGTGCTGCCAGTGGTCCAGTGGTGAGAATCTTTGTTTTCTTGATGGTGACCTTCAATCTATACTGAAAACTACAGTCCTTGACATTCTGCAGCAAACCCTTTAAGTACTCCTCAGTTTCAGCAGGCAGGGTTGTTTTATCTGCATAATGCAGGTTGTTGATAAGTCTTCCTCCAATCCTGATGCTACATTCTTTTTCATAAAGTTCAACTTGGTACTTGTATAATGATAGTCACATAGACCAATGGGATGACCCGAAGTACAGTAATTGAGAACCAAGAAATGTACCCAGCTATCTATGGTCAACTGATATTGTTGTTGTTATGTGCCGTCGAGTCGTTTGCGACTCATAGCGACCCTATGTACAACCGCCCTAAACCCTGCTCTATCCTGTGCCAATCACACTGCCTCTTACAACACACCCATCCCAATTACCCCAGTCACTGAATCAATCCACCTCATAGAGGG